AAAATAGAGCCGGTCTCGTTGTACCTGGCCAGGATTTTGCTCACACACCCGTGAGAGACCCGCAGCTGTCGGCTGATGTCACACGGCCGGATCCCGAGCTGCGCCAGTTCGACGATTCGGATCCGGATCGCGTTGGGAAGAGGCCGGCCGTTGACGAACACACCGCCGAGCTGGTTCACCTCCCCGTACGTCTGATCTGCAACAGATTCATCATATTCAACTATACAGTGCAGTTTTTAGGCTATGATGATGATAATAATAATAGGCCTAGTTTATAAAGCGCCTTTCGAGGTCGCTGCAAAGGAGATAATACATAAACACAACCTCACATAAATACATGCATTATACAGTACATATTTTTATAATACAATTTATAGGCTAACTACAATTTTGTCATGCATTGCGGCGTTTGCCTAAATGAAACGATCATGCATTCAACATAATAATAAATAAATAAATAAATAAATTCTCTATGATTTAACAAAGAATATTTTAGTTTATAATCTATTATTATCACGAACTTGGCCTATTTTACTGAAAGGCGTCTTTGAAATCAAATGGGGTTTCTGGCGGTTCATCATTAAAAAACAACAACAGGAAAAAACCATAGATGAATAAAACGCACACAAATATGTCTATATCTAAAATAAATTTAGATTTAAGCAATTTTTAAGAGTGCAAGAAGTGTTTGGGAGCATAAGCAGGCCTGCGCCAATCTAATGTTTGTCTGGGTATAGCCTAATTTGTCAAACTACTTATAATATTTAATAAGAGATGAGTGCCATTTCTGCTCGCATACAAAAATGAAAAGCTTACATCGTTTGATCGGCGTGAATGCATCTGTGAGTTTAATTCTCTATTCCTATTATTCTCGAACAGTTCAAGAGGAACTTACCCATTTGCATTGTGATATTTCCCTATACAGTGGTTGTGCTCCTTTAACCTTTAACTGTGCTGCTGTGTCCCGTGCAGCATTGGAGAGGTTTCCCCGTGTCTCTCGCTAGGACTGCCCTCTTCTTCTTCTTTTTTTTTTAGAGCTGAAGTGTCTGAGTTTAGGGCTGAGCAGGTCTTTACAGTAATCTTTGATCCACTTGAGAAACTGCGTCCGTCCTGGAGACTGGCTCGTGCGCTCAATTTGACGCGTCACGAGCATCAATCACACCAGACAGCGCGTGATCCCGCCCCGATCTTCATCGCGGACATATGCAGCGGCAAAAATGTACGTTTCCTGCCATTTTAGAAGAGACTATATGCAAAAACTTAACTGAAAATTGTGGTATTTTAAATAGCGAAGTTATATCTTGTAAAAATCCCCAAATTTTCATATTTTACATTAATAGCCTATCATTATTAGCCTAATGCCTATGCAAATACGTTATGTAAAGCATAGACCTTTAAGACTATTACAAGTAGCCTAACTCATAGGCTATAGCCCACCAATATTTAGGCTATATATAGGCTAGTCTAGCCTATAGCATACCTATAGGCCTATACGTTATGTTCACCGGAGCCACAAAAATTGAAAAATGTTCAACTTTTCAAAGCTCAAGATTAAGTGCCGCTAAAGCGGTGAAATGGAAAACTTGTGGTGCCAACCTGAAATTACAAGATGATTGCACTTGATTGAATAATATTTGCAAAGTTGGAACTCTGAAAACAAATATACAAAATAATATAATAGCAGAATAGCTTCAGATATTGTTATTAATGTAATGTCAGACAGTGGAAGGGAACAAACATGCAATAAATGTTATTTACACGAAAAAGTGACCATGCATTTCTTGTCACAAGCGCAGTGGGAATTCTTAAGGAAAGCGACTCGAAGAGGAAAAGTGTGACCGCAGCGCCATCTCATGGTTCATGTAGGAATTATATGCATCAAGAGAAACGCATCAGGCTTCAAAACACGACACACAGGCTCATTAATTACACATCGTTTTACTGGTGTATTTGTTTGCCTTTCACAGAAGACACTAAATTAAGCGCCACCCTACTGTAGGCTAATTCAACAAATCATATATCATGTAGGCTTGAAGTAGTTTTACAAATATCCAATTCTGATATTTAATTTTTGTTGAATACAGGGACAAAACAAACAAGACATGGCTACAAGATATGTAAAGGCCAACTCAGACATCTAGGTCACTGTTGTAAAGAAATAATATATTTATTTTCAATATAGGCCTAGCCTATAGGTTTCAAAAGAGATTTAAGCATTTATTTTTTTTAACTGAAAATGCATAATATTTTTATATCAATATGCTTAATGAATATGGACTATATGATTCATTACTGCATATCAACAACACACACACACACACACACACACACACACACACACACACACACTACAATTTCCCTCACCATATTCAGTAGCACCTCATTGCAGAACACGAGATCCAGGGGGTGGAGTTGGATCCAGATCTAAGGGGTGGAGATGAGTAGGGTTAGGGGTGGGGTTAGGGATCAGGGGGCGGAGGTTTAGGTATAGGTGGGAGGAGTTGGATCTGGATTTCGTGTTCTGCAGTAAGGACCATCTCAAAATATTAAAGAATTTTGTCGCAATTGTCCTCATTAGTGTGTTGTACCAGACTGCACCAGAAGAGGGAGAACAGGAGAAGGAAAGAGTTTGCATTCCACAATGGCGTCAGAAATATAGCCGTCATATTAGGCTGATATTACTGCACACTTGTAACAGAAACCCTACATGTGGACAACTTGCGAAACCTAAACATAACAATATTATTTTCACTTAAAAGACAAAAAAGATAGGCTACACATTTAATTTCACTTAGCCTACATCGGGTCGAGAGTTCTGACATGAGTAGCAATATATTCAGTGGCTGTCTGTCTGTGTAAAATTAAAGTCCTTATTGTCTAACAGTGTATATTTGTTACCGAATATCATTGCATTGTTTAGTTAAGTAGTGACTTTAGCCTAACTATCTAAACAAATGCATCAACATAAACAAAAGCACAAGAAACGCAAAAGTATTAGCAATACGGATAAATGTTACAAACAGAACTTTAAATGATTTTACATTTACAGTCTGATGGCACTGAACAGTTTATTTCTTTTTCTTTCGCTCACTAGATGGCGCGCTCACACAATACATGAAGCACTCACACAAATCTGTTCATTTTTCCATTCTATATTTAGCTGCCGTGCTTTATCAGAACACAACTACGGGTTAAAAAGAACAATATGCAAATCTGTAGTTTGACTAACTCTATACTTTTATAGCACTTGCTACATGCATCGGAAAATGATTCTCTCCTATTGCACACAAAAATATATAGGCCTATAGGCTACACTATTAGGACTATATTTAAAAATGATTTGTCCTATTCCAGCTTTTTGTTCACAGCATTTTTCATTAAAACCATCTTTGGGATTGTGTAAATTTCAATTTTCATTCTCGCTGTCGGCGTCTTTTTCGGATCTTGCACCAGATAACTCATTGTCAGGTCGCTGGTGATGAAAACCCCATCCGGGAAATTATATCTAAAGCCACCGCAACAACAAAACAAAAAACTTTGAAATATTTCGCTATGAATGTCTAATTTGTTTTCTTATGCGACAGTCGAAGCTCTAAACATGAATGAAGGAATCGTTCATTGAGGCCAGTTGAATACCATGACAACAAGGAGCGCGCTCACTTTTATTTGCCCAGTTTGGGTGTATTGTGCGAGGGCGTCAATCAACCATTATTTCTGCGCCCCAAATAAATGCAAAACCTGATCTAGCACAAAAACTTCCAGAGGGAGCCTTTCATTGCTCTATTGTCCAGGGCTTAGCTGTTGGTTTGTATATGTGTTTGCACAGTCCGACCACCCATGACGCGCGCAGAGCGCACTGAACATTCACATCACATATACTGTCAGAGAGAGGAACCAGAGACACCAACTCATGCCACAGGAGAGACCGAAATCAGGCGTCCCGAATGCACAAAAGGGCAAACTGATCATCAGAAAATCAGATAGATTCAAATCTTTGAAAAATTGTATTTGCACATAAAAAGGAAGTTTTCATGAAGTTAAAAAAGAGCCTGTGCAAAGTAGCTTTTTCTCGAATGACGCACAAGTAATAGAAAAAATAAGAACACAAAAATAAACTTCTAATTGCACTAACTTTTATACTAAAAATATAATAACGATAACAATTTACAATACGGTTTCATAACTTAATATTAGTTAACTACTTTAGTTACCATGAATTAACAGCATTTATGAATGTAAATTAGTGCAGTCAAATCGATTAATCGTGATTAATCACGTCTAGCTTAAATGGTTGTGCACACATATAGGCCTATATATATATATATGTATATATACACATATATACATAAAACATTATTAATACATTATTAATCATTGAAATCAAATAGTTAATGCACGGTGAACTAAAATGAACACAATGAACGACTGTATTTTTATAAAGATGAATAAAAACTGTAACAAATGTTTTAACATTATTCTTTAATTCATTAACTAATGTTATCTAATGAAATTTTCAGAACTCATTCCTAAAATATTGTGTAAATATAATTATGTTTTTCGGTCTAAAAATAAAGGCTCATTGTAAAACAAGTGTGCAGTGAAGTATGTCGATTTAGCTTCCATTAATTTCCAACATCTGAATGCATCATTATCAAGGAAAAGCTTTTAAGCATCAATGACCTGCAGTGTATAACATGAATTCTGAAGGAGGTCAGTAACAGGATTCTGCTCTTGTCGACAAATATGAGTCGTTGGCTTGATGAATTTGCTACTTGACTTAAGCTCTAAGCAAAATATTGACCCAAAAGGTTTCCATAATTTGGCCACTTGCCATTTTAAACAATCCCATTCAAACACGGACAGCTCATCATCCACAACATACAATGTTTCCGACCAATCACACCTTACAATGTAAAAAGCGTGCGTTTTTAAAGATAATTATAACGGAGGGTTTCCATTTGTGCCACGGACGCTTCTGATATGTAAATGAGTTTGGGGGGGGGTCTCTCTCCCATTTTAGTCGTGTCACCTCATCCCACTCATGCATTTCTGGTGTTCCGCTGACGGAAGCTCAACTCACTGTTTCACACTTGACTCCAGAGATCCGCCCTCGATCGTCAAGGCCTTTTTGGGACGCTTTTCCGCAGGTCCAACACTCACCTGCGACCTTAAATGGACCAGACTAATGGATTGGTTGGGTCAAGCACTGCATAGCATCCGAGGAGCATCTGTGATCTGAGCCTGGATCCGTGTGCACGCGCGCTGTCCAATCCCACGGATCTGCATTTACAACTCAGCACCAGCACGCTGTTTGGATAGACTTCACGGTCACTGTATGTTGGATTGGAAAATGTCCCTAAGGAATTGCAAGGCAGGGTTCTCTGTCCGTGATATTTTAGACCTCCCGGAGACGAGTGACGAAGGATCCGTGACTGAAGACACTGAAGATGAGGCTGATGAAGGACTCTCTGGAAAGCAGCAGCACGCGTCCTCCACTGATGCGCTTTGGCCCGGATCTCCATGTGGCCACACATATCCAAGTACGTGTATGTAGTTTAATTATACTTCACACTGATGGTGTCCTATTTCAGTATCTAATCGAATTAAATTAAAACAATAAAAAATAGCAACAAAAAAGTCGGAATTTAATAGAAATGGTCATGGTTTTACGCAATTACGCGCTTAGAAAAATAAAGGTTCCTTAATTGCATCGATCGTTCCAGTATTTTCACAGTATTTGCACAAAGGTTACTTATTTATTGGGAAAAGGTTATTCAGGTTATTTAAATATTTTAAAAACAGTTATTTAAAGAACTGGTTACTGAAATGTTATTGCATCGCTACTTTAAGTATCGCCTATGATGGTCTATTCTCAAAATTGGTTATTTATTTCATCTAATTCGATGACGCATACAGGTTATTAATTATAATTATATTCAGCAGTGCCATCAGCATCTCCAGGGGACTTGAATCCCGAACTGTCCACGGATGAGTCTGTGGATCGGGATAGGGAGAGTTCGGAGGACTCGGGGAAAAAGCGCAAACGGAGAATCCTCTTTTCAAAGACGCAAACGTTTGAGTTGGAGAGACGCTTCAGGCAACAGAGATACTTATCCGCCCCTGAGCGAGAACATCTCGCCAAGCTCTTACATTTGACTCCGACGCAAGTGAAGATTTGGTTCCAGAACCACCGGTATAAAGTGAAGAGAGCCCGGGCTGAGAAAGGGACGGACCCGTATCTGCTCTCTCCTCCACGGCGCGTTTCTTTCCCGGTCCTGGTGAGGGACGGAAGAGCGTGTCCTCTGGACATCACTACAGCGGCACCCTATGCTTTTAATATCAAGCAGTTCCCCCAGATTCATCACAGTCATAACATCTGCATGACACATCTGACACCTGTCAGTCATCTGGGTCACATGCAGCCCTGGTCCTGGTGAAGAGATCGAGACAGCTTTTACGCGGCGGAACTTTCAACAAATAAAGTTGTTTTAGGCACATTTTCCATCATTAATTATATTTCTACAATGTGGAAATATATTTTTAAATGAGTTTTAATGTTTTCTCCCCGTTTTATATTCGATGAAACAGAAATAGCATAATGTGACTTCGTCGTCATCATCATCATCGTCACCATCTCGTGCTGTTTGTAGATATATTTATGCTGGAAATTTTACATTGTGTTGATCAGTAAATGTCATTTATTCAACAATCCAAAATGTTACTTTTCGTTAAATTTAGAAAGAGCACGATAAGTAGCCTACTGACAATTTAATAACGTTTAAGAAATTAATTGGGAATAGTTATGGAGATTTTTTTCCCTGTTGTTTTCTATTTTGTTTTTATACTGAAATTATTCTGACTAACCTGTAATAAACTTAATAAAAAAAATTTCCTTCTGAACAAAAGCGATATTATTGATTTATTTGTCCATTTTAGGCTATAGACGTGAGTGTGTGTGTCCTGGTAAATAAATCCTACATTATGGGGACAAAATGTTCTCACAAAGATGGCAATATCCAAAATCCTTGTCACATTTTTGGTCCCCATGGGAGAAACAAACTTGTATAAATTATACCTTTTATTTTTCAATTTTGTAATATTTTTTAATGTAAAAATGCAGCTAGTTTTCTGTGGGATAGAGTTAGTGTAAGGGGAGAGAATCTAAGTATACTTAATTCATAATTCATTATGACAATGAAAAGTCCCCATAAAATGTGTGTGTGTGTGTGTGTGTGTGTGTGTGTGTGTGTGTGTGTGTGTGTGTGTGTGTGTGTGTGTGTGTGTGTGTAGTAGTAGTAGTAGTATTTATAAAAAATACAGGTTCAAAAAAATATTTTTGAAAGTTATGAATGTTCAGAAATACAAAAATGTGCCGAAGTTAATCATTCATAGCAAATGAGCTGAAATTAACTTTTTGACTAAGGTATGAATACGCGCCCCCTAGAACTGATTTCCAAGGGCATTGTTCTAACCACATAAAAAAAATAAACTTATTTATTTGTTGTTTCGAATGTTTTTTCGTGCCACTTCACAAACACTAAACCATACAGGCCTACTAAACAAACAAGATAGACTAAAACAGACTCATAAAGGAACATTTGATATATTAAATGTTTAAACAAATTGCCTAAATACAATTATTATGTAGGCTATTAATACATTTCGGTGGTGATGTGAAATCAGGATTGGTTTTATTTTGTAGCAAAAAAAAAAAAAAAAATGATATCGAAAGAAATTGAAGTCACAATTTTACGAAAATGATCTACGACCTAACAAGCTGGCAAATCTGCTTATTTCAAGGTGCACACGCGCTGCAGTCTCTTCAATGACCACTTGGTGGCAGCAGTGTATTATTATAATGATTTAAAGAACTGGGTTACTCGAGCATCTAGACTAAGCAGGGGTGTCCAATCACTGTCCTGCAGAGATCAGCTCCATCCCCAATTAAACACACCTGGACCAGCAAATCAAGCTCTTAGGAGCTGAACGGTGAGACCAGCTGCCCTCCAGCAAAGTTTGGACAACCTTGATCTACAGATACCGAGGACAAATACAGGATCAACTCAATTTCTCCTGAAATTCAGCCCTGATTAGTTTTGTCCATACTAACAGAAATGTAAACAACCTTTCCTCACATCAACTTATTTTTGTATCTTTACAATGCATGATCGTAAAAAAACGAGTTTCAATTTGATGGCATTTGATGAGTCTTTAACTGGGAATGGGAATGTCAAGCTGAATTCAAGGATGGCCTTAGCGAATTTTCTATTGTAAAGCTCTGTGTAGCCTATATATTTTTAAATTAAAACTTCAAGGATTTCAGGTTCAGATTTTTAAAATGACATGCAGAAAACTGACCTTGCCTCAGCTGAGTTCTTCATGAAGACGCCATGTCCATATCATGGAGCTCAATGTTTAGGAATTATGGGAAGGATTTGACGTCACAGCGACGCGCGAACGTCGCAAAACTTGTGACAAATACAAAACACAACACATAACTTATGTAGAGAGATGTGATGTAGGTTGATATGCCCATAGTTAACTCAACTCATACAGTATTTTACAGTTCAAAAACAACAACAAATCTATTCGTTCTCTATTTTTAAAGGAGGTTGCACCAAGTACTTGGCTTATTTGTAAGTGACCTCGATTGGGAAAGTGTCTGGTTGTTACCTCATAGTTTTTGTTGAAACAAAAACATTATGTGAAAGAAGTGTCTATGAAAAGATAGGCTACTCTTCAATTTTGATTTGCATTTTGAAAATTAAATGTTTGGATATTTAAAATAGGCCTGTCATAACAGTGTGAATAAGGATCCTTTTGTAATCAATCTGGTAATTTTATTAGTCACATTTCACATTCATACTTTTTTTTTTTTCAGAAAAACCCTTTTGTCATTAAAGAACTTGAAAATTCATTTTCTAGACCTAATAGAAAAGCTATTAAAACTGTTTATCCGTGTTTATCTTTATATGATACAAAGAACTTGCATCTCTGTGAATGTGTCTGTGTGTGTTTTCTATTCCTGTAATCCTTGCAGTTTTTCTGAATCGCTAAAACACTAAAAGCCATTCTCTAATTCTCAATAGACTAAATCAATTTGTCGAATAAATCCCTCTTTCTGTAAAACATTAAACACGTTAGATAAAACACTGTTTCAAATCTCATGCACTCTTTTTTCACAAATCTATTCTCACTCACTAAAACACATTTCACACGGTGATGCACTTGTGGTTCACAACACTAAACACAGGCAGGCAAAAGTTAAACACAAAATTGTCATCTTTTAACACAACGACTCAAAATTGTTCACACTTATTTCTAATGATCTGATCAAACCAAGTGTACAAGACGTGAGTTCAGAGCCAAAACAGACTCAAAGTGTTACACTGAATGTTGATACCAGCGATGGAAACAATATAAGAGAGAGAGAGTGTGTAAGAGGAGGTGAACACGGAGGACGAGGACGAGCAGGTGTGTGTAGTGTTGTCAAGGCTGGATCTGCTTCAGGGTTTTTCCCTTCGCCTGTAGACGACAGAGTCTAAGATGTGGACAAAGTCCTCAAACATGAAGATGTGAAGCTGAAGCAGAACACACACAGACACACACACACACACACACACTGACCGTGATTCTGCAGTGCACATCTCTTCTGAGTGACTGAAACATGCTTTTCATTTACAGTGTTTTACTGTAACCTTTTTGGCTTTAGCCTTTTTTAAGGGATTATGTAATCCCTTAGCAATGTTTTTTTTTATGTAGCCTAATTATATTCAAGCCTTAATAAATTCATATTTTTAGGTGAACCACTTACTCATTTCCTCTCCAAAATAGATACACTTTTGGTAAAAAACAAAACAAAAACAAACGTAACATTCTTTGAAAGTAAATGAAATATTGAGGATTGTTTTCTTTGGCCTGGAGGTGGCGACATTCCAGAACAGAGTAGCCTCATCATTTTCAGTGATCCAAACATGAGAAAGAAAAGAAGACTCTCTTTAATCTTAAAAATTGCTCTTTACCTACAATATTGTGAGGCTATAGATCTTATATTTTGAGTCTAAATCGCTTCTGACATTAAACTCAGATCTCACATGATTTTGTCTGGAGCCTCCTCCTGTGAGTCGTGTTTTTTCGGATGATTTAAGTGGAAGAGATGTTGTTATTCTGCTGATCCAGAACGTCTTTCTGTGCTTCGCTGAACCTGAACGTCTCCACGTAAAGTCAGATGTCATTTAGTTGTGTGTGGGCGCACCTGAGTGCTTTAAGCTTTCTCGAGGGTTCTTCTGTAGACAGTCTTCACAAAACATTGGCTTACCTCAGCAAATATTACAAATGAAGCAATGTCACTTCATCCCGAAGTGTTGATATGGATAAGCCTGCAGCACGTGCTCATAGCGATATGTCTCGAGACCGGTGTTGCCTCGATTTCAGTTTTAAAAGCCTTAACGGTCTTTGGTCTTGTTTCGGACCTCTCGGTCTTGTCTAGGTCTCTCTGTCTACCGACATAGTAGTTAGGGTATTTAATAGCAATAGATACTACAATATCCATGATGACGATATCCGCAACTGATTGAAGCGCGCGTCCGTCCGAGTGAAGACGGTGTCATCCCGAGACGTCATACAACTGACGTCTTGGGACGTCTTTTGACCATACGTCAATATCCGCCTTTTTAGGGCCCCCTTAAACGTCGGTAGATGACGTTATCGGACCCTAACTCTACCCCAGACCTAAACCTAACCCAAGCCTACCCCGTGACCTAACTAACGTCAAGGGGGCCCTAAAAAGGCGGATATTGACGTATGGTCAAAAGACGTCGCAGTTTTTCACAGTAGCACAACACTTCAGATCATTGCAAAATGGAGCACTTTTGTCAAAACTATAAACGACTTCAAGAAAACAATATTTTGTTACCATACGAAACACACACATTTCATATGACTTCAATATTTTTGAACCAGTTACACACTGCTGTTGCTAACCTAAAACACGTTTAGCAAGTCTAATTCTCATTGATTAGTAGGCTACTGTAAATGAAGTACACAGAGAAAGTGCAACTACAATAGTTCACCAAACACAACAAGACCAATGCTGCTTTTCTCCATATACCCAAATCAGTCAACATGGAGAATCACAACACAACATGTCCCAGTTGTTCTGCTACTACAGTAGTGTGTATAACACTGAGTCAGCAAACAACATACAAACGTAAAATACTGTATCCAGTACAGGTTACAATTACTACATAACAACAACAAAAATAATCTGAAAAAAAGGCAGGTGAACTATACCCACTGCATTTGCTTAAACCCGATTGGTGTGTCTACAGTTTAGCAGATGATGGCTGTGTTTAACAGATTGGCTCATATTGGTGTGGGAATTTGACAGTCCATGCTTTGGAATTGCAAGGAAGTGACATCATGATATACTTCTGTGATGTATATAAGTGTGTTTAGTGTTCTTCAAATCACTGTGTGTGTTTTTCAAGAAGTGTGAAGCTGACAATGCTCTTACAGTTGTGCAAATCTAGCTTTGTGTTTTGCTCTTGGAGTGTAAGATTTTGCTAATTGTGGGGGGAAAAAGTCTAATTTTATAGAGTGTGTTTCAATTGTAAAAAAAAAACTCGTCCATTTCTCCTGCATCTGACATGTTAATTATGGGAACGGATCATTCACTTTCCTTACCCAGATCGTACAGTTTTTTTCTGAATTGCTAACAACTCTCAGACCATACACACAGCGAGCCAATATTATACACACTATCATCAGTCATCAGTCATCAGAGATCACATCTCATCAGTATCTGTATATGCTAATACATTAGCATTGCCAGAACAGAAATAATAAGCCGAAGCTATCTTTTTAGATAAAGCTAATTCAATTTAATATGGATT